AAATATAAAGTTTTTTCTTAAAAATGTTTGATAACTATCCGGACATTATAAAGATTTTGCATGTAAAATTTGAAATTTTCTGATGCATAAAATTATTTTAAAGTTTAAAAAGAAAATTGCTTTGCATGTTGGATAAGAAAGATGTGAAAAACAAAAAAAGGCATGAGAGAAACATTACTTTACAAACCTTAAGACTTAATAACAAAAAATTAGATATTTTGCATATGAAAGCATTGTAATGTTAACTGATAATCTGCCAAATTTCATTGAACATTTGCTTGCTAATTTAAAAGTTATAGCATGAAAACTATAACAAGCACAAAATGGTTAGGAGGTCAGTCCCAGGGACTGAGCCTGTGCTGAAAGAGTTAACTGCTTCAAATGTAAGTGCAAGATATAATAAAATGTTGAAATTATTATTGAGAAGCAGAAGTTAACCTCCATTATTTCTTATAATTCAATTACGTACTATAGGTAATACATTTTAGACTTACCTGTTAAAAATTTAAGACAGCTATTAAGAAAGCTACAGACTTTTGTTGGACAAAATAAATTGCAAGAAAATATTTTTTTCAGCTTCTGAATAACAAATTATTCAAAAATGTAATTTTGGGATCAAATAGTAGAATTCTCTACCTGATTATATCTGGTTCAAAATCTCCTCCAGCTGGATCAACAGCTTTCAGTGGTGGAGTGCTAGACATCTCTGGTTCTTCAACTTCTCTATCTAAGATATATAAAAGAAAAATGGCTCATGCATTAAAATAAACTTAAAAGGTAAAACAATTTTAGTCTAATAGAGAAAAACTAACTTTTTCAAGCTGTATGTTTCAGCTGAATTCATTAAAGCAAGCATACAGACTTAAAATTGTTTTATTTTAAAATACAGAAACATAAATATCACTATTTTACTTAAGACAGCTTAGTTCATCCACTTTAAAATCACATTTTCCTTCCAAATTTTATAAAATATTTGTAGCATAATAAGCATCATAGTTATACTCCTGCCTGATAGGTCAAGGCCTAGCTAACTTAGGATCTCAAATATTAAATTCATGAAGTTAACATCAATAACTGAGCTTAGAAGTTTAGAGCTTTATAGTCAGATTCTGACCATAAAGTATCTGTGGAAAACAAAATCCCATATGTGTGTGTGTGACACATGGTTTGTATTTGAGACGCGTGTACATAAAAATGCATAATTGCATTATTGAAACCACACACACACTAGTTTGCATAAATAAAACTGCTGTTTACTAAAACAGGAAGTTAGTGCAACTTAGTAATTGATTAACTGTTGAGCTCATTAACCAATTACATTAAATTAATTGATTATTCCCACATGAAACTTGGATAGTTAGAATAGTCTGCATAAATAAAACTGCTGTTTACTAGAGCAGGAAGTTAATGCAACTTGGTAATTGATTAATTGTTGAGCTCATTAAACAATTACATTAAATTAATTGATTATTCTCACATGAAACTTGGTTAGAATAATTAAAAACACTAATTTCTATTAGATATTTCATGACATTAAGTAATTTAATAGTAATTTTGAATACTTGTTTATTTTATGTGACATTAATCAATGTAATCAATGCTCATAGGTAATTCATTATATTGATTGAGTTAATCACCCATTTTACCAATACATTAAAGAAAGAAAAACTGTTCTTAAAAATACTCAAGAAATATCAGGGTTTAAAATACCTTAAAAATATACTGGTATCATACTTCGTTATGGTTATATATTATAGATGTTTTTAGCAGTGGCAATGTACAAGCCAAATAACGAGTCCTGTCACAGCACATTTATCAGGGTACATCCAGATAGTATGGCACCATCCCCAATTTTGAACCACCAGCCACATGGAGGTAACTATTAAGCAGCAGCCTATTGCTTTTTTGTAATGTTATTTATTCATACTTTATTTAATGATAATAAATAAATCATTACTTATAATTTTTTACACCACATTTTCAATGTAAATAAGAGTGGACTGACTTTTAATATAATGAAGCAGAAATCAAAACTGCTAACCACTGCTCAATACTATAGTACCAGAGTAAACAAATGCAAGGTCAACCTAACATTAAAAGCCTGATATACAACTCTACAAGCAAAACAAATTAATCTAAATTAACTACTAAAAATTACTTAGAATACTTAAAAGTAAATAAAAAATACATTCAAAAAAGGAAGTAAATGTAGGAACGGCAAACAATGCAAACAGACAAGAATCAACATATAGCAATATATATATAACTATTCAATTACAAGTTTAATTTATCCTATTTTTGTGTTTTAACATTCCACAGCACTGTGTGCCTGTGTTATGGATGACACAAATGTCACCCCTACTATCTTGTTTGCATTGTTTTTGAGGGATTGATACAAGCCATCCCTACATTATCTTCCTTTTTTGAAAAGCTTTTTTGTTTTAATGCAGTGTTTCAATAGACATAGGAAGGTTGTATTTATAACCAAGTTCTAAATACAATGAGGTTCAGACTGTGATATTTATTGTTTATCTATTATTGACTGGCAATTCCTATTTCAACCTGTATCTAAGATTTTTGAAAGATCACCAAATTTCCGTAAGAAAGCTAACTGCAAGGGTTAATGATAACACCATTTACACGAGAATTAAGTTTTATTTTTTAATGACTACTAATTGATAATATTTATAAAAGCGGATAATCCATTAGAAACTGTCACCTCAGTGAAATTGGTTGACACCATTGTTTTGGTTTTTGAGCTATCATGTAATAAAAAAAAGCAACAAAAAAAAGAACAAGAAATTCAAACTTTTTGCTGTGATATTTACAGACATTGTCAGAACTTAACTCAGTCATTGCATAAATACTGTTATAAAAGGAAACACTGTATAGTATTGTAAAGTTCTGATGACCTATTGAGGAGATATTTAAAATAGCATTTCAATGAACAACCCAGGCCGTCCCCCTACATAGGCAGTGCTACCACCTGCCCAATAAGAAATTAATATTAATATTTTACTTACAGTCATTGAGTGCAAAATATATAAAAGTTTAAATAAGGAAGCCAGATACTTCCTATTTTTTCAATTTAATACAACACAATTAATATAAATTGTTGAAAATAGTGAAGTTATGTAATCTAATAAACAGTAAATGAACATAACACTGTTGTTCCATTTTCCCCTCCTTCCAGACAATAATGTCTTGACAGTTAATGAACAGGTCTAATATATACTATCTTCTCAACACAACAAACAAATGCAACAATAAATCTAATTTAGTATTAATAACTTAGAACAAAATTTCACACTATAAGTAAATGGATCAAAGTTGTCAGAAATTAACAAGAATATTAATTGGGCCAAAATACAAATCATGAGCCTAGCTTTCAATCATTTTTACTTTCCAGTACCCTCACTAGTTTTATTACCTGCAGTATACAATAAATTCAAATATTTTAAAGTTCTCTAGGTCATGTATACAGCTTCAGTGTTTTTCTCATCAGCTTATTAACTTTAGTTTGCCATTCATTTTATTTCCAATTAAAAGGTTTTATTTATGATAATGTTGGCAATCATGAACAAATTCTAAATTCAATATAATAGCTAATGGTATGTAACAGCTAGACAATAAACAAAAATGCATGAACTACCATAGATCGGCCCTTATATTAAATCCAGGACTTTAATTTTAAAAGCACCACTCAAAAACTTGAGCACTGTACTACATGCTAAATGTATATTTATTGTTTTTGTTGTTTACCTGTGTGTGTATGTGTGAGCATGCAACATTGCTTAAGATACATCTAAGAAGTATTATGAATATTGTCGATGTTTTCCAAATATTTCAAGAAGTTATGGCAACAACTAAACAAATATACGATGTCTTGCTACAGTAAATGAACAACTGGCAAGAGTCATGATTCACAGATGCTATAATTTAGATTTTTAAGTCCATATCAGAAATTTAGTTTAGAAATTTAACAAGTTCTTAAGGTCACAGCAACAAAACATGGTTAGTTATAAACCAGAAAAAGAATTTTTTGTGGAAAATTCCTAGGGTTACTTATTATTATTATTTAGTTAAATTATCCTTTGATGTTTGTGATTCAAATAATATTTTGGTTATTTAAAAAAATAATCAAGAGAGAAAAGTACTGAAATTTTTGCTAAGCAAACCTGCACTTAGGAAAATAGTAGCAACTTTTTATTAAGCTTCTTTTTTTAAACTACAAACCAAAGAGTAAGAAGTCTCATGAAACTTTCTTGTCCATCATTACAAAATATTGTCTTACTGTCATCTACCATTAAATGTTCTTCTAGTACTTATGTCTTGGCATGTTATACACCCAGAATTTTCCATTGGAAGGCAAAAATAGAATGTATGGAAGTCCCTAGGATGTCCATGCTTTGATAAAGTATGCCCATAGGCCCCCCTTGGGTACTTGTTTCTTGGATGTAAACTAAACCAGAGAAATGGATGCAGTGAACAAAAATTGTATGATACCCCAATTCAATGAACTTGCATGAATGGTTTATGTACAACTTTATAGCATGTTTTTTAGTACTTTGTTCAATTATACTCACCAACATCCACTACTTGATCATCTGTTTCCTCATCTTCATCATACAAGTAATCTTGATAACGAAATATATCATTTCTTACATAGTATTTCTTTGGAGATTGTGGGGCTAAAACAAAGGTCTGGACAAATGGTCTCATATCTTGTCCATTGTTAGACAGTTTTCCTGTGACCTAACAAAAATACAAACACAGCTATCATCCACATACCTCAAGCCTACCACTCTCCAAAAGTTAATTCTACTTTAACATTTGTTTCTACTATAGATGTAGTGGGCTACTTGCTAATGACACCAATTACTTCTTTACAAATAAACATGAAGTTAAATCATTAACAAAAAGTAGAATCTTGTATAAGTTAAAGGTAAACACTGATACTACCTTGTTACATAATTTATTGTCAGCAGAAATCATGCAAAAAAAAAGATACAGGATTTGAATATTTTAGCTAGTGTCAATTTTGGATTATAAATGATTGGATACCATATGCATAATGTAGTCCTAACCAAAGAACAAGCACATCTTGTACACAAAAAATAATTTCAGATTAGTCTGAGTACAAGGTGATTTTTCATGTAAAGATTAAGTTTTTTCATCTTATAGCTTTTTTTTTATTGTTTTGAGCAGTGACTAACTAATAATCCCATGATAAAAACTGTAAATTATATTGTGAACTCCTAGCTCAAGTTAGAGTATTGAATGATTTAGTGCATGAGCTACTTACAAACACACCTAACTTAAGATTCTAATTTTTATATTTTATTTACATTTATAACAACAAATAAAAAATACACATAAAAACAAGAAACTTAGTATTTACATTTGGCCTCTTGTTTTTTTTGCTGTCAACCCTCTGACAAAATTAATCCTAATTCCTTGTAAATCATTTTTTATTTAATTAAAATATGCACTTAAGGACAAAATAACAACATACATAAAGCAAACAATATCCTATACCTCTTGTAATTTAACTGGCTTTCTAACTAAAACATAAGGTGCCTTAAAATAATTCCCTCAGCTGTTTGACCTCAAATTGGTGACAGTAACTTTGAATCTATAGGTAGAATAACTAAAAATCTCTACTGAGGACAAGGTTTTCTTATACATTATTCAGCAAATTAAAACTTAGTTTTCTATTTGTTATAAATGACGTAGTAGCAAACATTAGAGAGAATTTTTGTCAATTTGTGAGAGAGGATGTGATGGGAGAGCATGACAAGTGAGTTGGACTTAATTTATAAAAAAAAAGATGACTGAATACTATAAAAATCATTATCTATACTATAATGAGAAATTTATATTAAACTCAGAACATCACAGAGGTGGTGAAAAATATAAAAAGGGCAAGTCGGAGTGAACAAATGTCACATTACACAGAAAAATGGAGATTAAGAATTTATTTAAATATTCCCTTTTGAAATTATAAAATTTAAACTTATATAATATTGAAATTTGATTTATTAACTACGTTCTGATACCAAGTCCATTCATGTCCATTGATAATAAAGCAGTTTAATTAAAATTCTGTGACATGTTCATTTTTATCTACCTTTAGCAATAGGATTAAGAATAATGAAGTATTTCAGTAAAACTGTCATGTTACAGAAATATCTGTTTATAAATTATCACAACTTAAACCTTTTCAGATGCAATATTGATCATTTTTATAGCTCTGTAAAATAGTTGAAAAAGCTTTTTTGCCAAAATCTTTTAATTAATTATGCCTAGTTTAAAAAAAAAAAGAAATTATATCTAGTTTGAAACTTATTTTTCTACAAATTAATCACAAGTACTTGCCATCACTGAGGTGGTAGAAGTATTCACATTTTCATAAGCCTATTTACTGACCTTAACAGAACAATAATATTTTGAAAAATCATTTTTACCAAAAAGGAAGATAATAGCCACAGATAACATATAAGTGAGCTAATTTACTAACACTAACCTGAACAACAACTCCATCTCCCAAAGTTTCATGGCTGTCTACTTGAAGAATTTTTGCACGACAATCTCCAAACTTCAACTGCATTATCTTCTGGTGAATGGCCTTTAATAAATAAATAAATATGTATAGAAAATTAATACTTAAACAGTCAAGCAAAATAAAATCATAAGGAAGGACTGCATTAATAACAGTAAATCCGAACCTGTGATAAATGACATTTTAATGAAAAAAACAAGCCCAAACAAAATTAAATTAAAAATGCTGCATAAATTAAAAGGATCACCAGGCACAGGCTATAACATGGAATATAAAAATTGTGGTTGGGAGTTATACTGATTAGCTTAGATAACTTGGTTTAAATTTTATAACTCTATAGTAGTATAATTTATCTACTGTACTACTAATTAAGTTAAATTAGGGCTTGATTACTATAATGAGGGCTGGAATGCCAACCTCACAAAGTAAGTTTATCTTACTTATCCCCAAGTGGTAGTACCTTATTTGATTTTTCTTTTCTTTTACTTTGGAGAGCAGTCACCTTCCCACAACTCTCTGCAGGCAGTAAAGGGTAATATAGATGTGGGATGTTGTAGGCTTGAGCACCCACATCTCTCTCTCTCCTAGCTTGTATTTCTTTTAATGATATTATTTTTATTTATTTATTTTTAGTTTCTTCATGTGAGACTGGCAAACAGAGGTTAAGACTGATAGATGGTGTGTCCCACTGCAATGTGGGTCCTACTTCCACAGTCACCTCAAAAACCCAGGGCACATTTTATACCCCACATTATAGCCTGTGCCATGGGGATCCTTTTAATTTATTCAGCATTTTTAATTTGGGCTTGTTTTATACATTCATTTTTATTCTTTGAAAAACATTTTTTTTCCTTAACCAAAATATATATATATATATAGACACACACACACACACACACACACACACACATGTATACACATTTATTCCTTTTCTTAAAAAAACCCTGCACTTTTTGTAGATTGATTCCCTAACAATTTTGGTAAAATTATTTGAAGTGACAATTATTCAAATTAAAGAGAATAATCAATGAGTTTTATTTGATGCATAAAGCATATTTTATTCAAGACATTTTCCCATACACCTATGAAATAAAGAAACTGCATGATGATTTTAAGTATTCTATTTTATAACAGCTATTTTGTTAGAAATAAATATAGAACAATATTGAATCTAACTTGGATAATTTAGAAAAAATGCAAAACTTTAAAAGAACTCAAAACATTACTAGACAAGCTTGTTCTGTAACAAAGAAAATGATATACTATATTAACCTATTCTGGAGACATAAGCTATTCAGTGTTTTTAGGGAATTCAATCAATGTTTCAAAACCATGTTGTAATTCAGATAACAATTGAAAATACAAGTGATAAACTATATTACATACTAAAAGTATATTATTCAACTATCAAAACTATTCTATATATTTGATGTGAAACATAAATGGCATACCTATTGTGATACAGCTTGTGTTGGAGTTAACAAAAGACACAAAAACAGAAGAAATTTCAAACTGTTACCTGTTGTCCTACTACAGGCTTTGATTCCTGGCCAGGGTTATCCAATGCTCCATGAACAAATGAAGAGTTGTGGCTATAAAATCTAAAAACAAAATTGCATAAAAAAACAAAGTCTTTTTAAAGTACTTTTTGTTACCTACTGTACTTTTATGTAAAATTTGTTTCTGTTTCAAGATATCAAGCTAAAGATTAAAACATATTTTCCAAGTTGTTAAAAAAAAAAGTTATATACACTGATGATCAGTGCAAATTGACACCAAACTTGTGTACAAATAATACCAAAGGAAAAAGTACAAATTGAATGTTTCACAGAAATACGTTCAAGAATTGATTTTTTTTAGAATTCATAGAAAAATTCTAATTTATTCATGAATATCAGAATGTAACAGAAGCTTAGAAAAATAAAAAGTATACCTGTTTTTGGTAAACTTAGATTGGATGTCAAATTTTCTTGGCCATTTACTTCACAGATTTTTTTTAGATTAAAAACTTAAATATACAACTAATAACTTGGGACATTAATAGGAATTAATTACATTATATTTGAATTTGTGCACAATCATTAAACAAAGGATGTTTGTTGGTGGTAAAATAAAAATATTTCCATACTTTTTTTTATTAATTTAGCAACTGAAGTTCTATACCAAGAAATGGATAGTTTTTTTCTTCTGTGTTTGTGACTAGTTGTGGATATGTTAAGAGGGCAGGAATAAACTTGTAACAAAGAAATTAAATCTGAAAGAAAGAATAATACTGACTTCAGATCTGAAAAGTTAAGGTTTAGCGATGTCAGAAATGAGTCAGTAAATAAGAAAACAGATAGAAATAAAAGCATCACATCAGAAGTCTAAGATTTTCTTATACTGTAGCTAAATTTTTTTAAATAAGGCATATCGTTACTTGTCCTTCTCTGCACCCTTTCCCATAAATATTCTCCAGTAAGATAACCAAAACTAAGCAAAAAAGTCTTCAATATTTTATGGGGCAAAAAACTTATCCTTAAATTTAAAATTCTGATAAAATATCGTAGAACTGTTAGCTCTTTCAACCAAACAAAGGTTTCAAAATGATGATCAGTCCTAAACTTATATCTTCTAAACTATATCTACAGATTTGTAACAGGAAACCAGTCTAGTTCTCCAGATAGGTGGTTAAGATATTTCTTTTTATGACTTTTCTTTTGTACCATGTTCTAGTTCATATCAAATGATGGATGTGTATTACAGCAAATACAAAACATTTACAAGTATACTACCAATTTGGTATATATAAGCTGAAGTTGTGTGTGTTTTTAATTAATGGCAGGCTTTAGCTGGTGACCATCATCATTAATCATGTGCACTTACTCATTCAATATCAAGCTGATGATTCATATAAAACTGCTTGAACATATTGAACTCAAAATCCTACAACATTATCAATAAACTTGGAATCAAAGCATAGTTTATAATTCCAATTTTAAAATTATCTAAGTAGTAATTCTTAATTTCAAAATGTATTTAAACAAATTCCCAATCTTTACTCTTATCTCATGTGACATATCTGTACTCTGATAAAATTTAACTTCAAAAATTCAAATTCTATCATGCCTAACCAATTAGAAACAAACTACACATATTGACAAGGAAGAATATGAAATTTGAGCATCCTACCTTCTTAATTTAAGTTATAAATAAAATCGTTAAACCCACCAGAGGGTCCTCCTATTTTTTTCATGCATTTGAAACAATTTATTCACTCACACCCACTCGTCAGACGGATATGTTTACAACCAACAGAAATAGCATATTTCAAAGTAAAGGAATCTGAAAGTCCTTTGTTTTATTTTGACAATTAAAGGTAGTTTGCAAAAAAAGCTTGAAGTATGTTGTGTACTTGTGCTCAGAGCAGTAATGAAATTTTTATAAAACCTATTTATAGCTTAATTAGAATGCCAGATAAATTATGGCAGTTTTGGGACATTCTATTATAGTGCCTAGTATTTCGTGTGTTCTACAGTGCATATCTGAAAGCTGCATAAATCATTTTTTGGATAACAAACATAAGAAAAAAGTAAGGTTACCTAAGCACAGCTACAAAGTTCAGAAGGCCTCAGTCGTAACAGAAGAGCTTTATTTCTTGTTTTTAATATGCATGTTTTTTTATTTGTTATAAACTTAATAAAAGTAACTAAAATGTAAAAAGTTGAAACTTTTTCGGTTAGGTAACAAGACTTACATAGAATTCAATTTAATGAGGAAGTTTGAAAAATTCTCATGGTTAGCATGTGACTGTACTAGAACAGATGCAGAGAGATGGTCCCAATTACAGTAATAAAACAAGCTGAGGCTGTTAGAATTAATAACTAACTGTCTGCTAAGGTAGATAAAATAAGAGATGAAATATAGTTTTACCAAAAAAACTTTTGATATTAATTTTCAAGGTTCTAGAGATTATGCAAATGAAATATAAAACTATGTATTCTTATTCTTAGCATGAAAATCATCTTCAACTCAAGACTGACTAAGTGCATAAAAGTTTCATAATTTTACATTACAAATCTTTAGTAAATATACTTTATTAAAGAACCTGATTTTTTTTGTACAACAGACTTGTAACATTTATTAAGAGCTTGCCAAATTTCATGATGATACACTTTGTACATCCAGAGTTATAGTATGTAAAAGTTTCATGGTTAGTTACATGGTGGCTGCATGGTTGGTCAAATTGATTGAGCCTGTAAGCATAGAGGTTAATAGTTTCATTTAAAATTGGGTTAAAATGGGTAATTCATCAATTTTAAAGAAACGAGAAACACTTAAAACCATATTTTAGTGATTTAGGGACTGCTCACACTTGAATATAGGCTGGAGTCTGACATGTATATTTCAATTAATAATGCAAGAATATCTAGTACACGAGTAAAACAAAAGCTGCAACTATACAGCACTATCAGACATACTTTGTCTTTCTTAAAATTCTCTGACATGAAAACATCCAAAAAAAAAGCTAAAGCAACCAAATACATGGAAATACTTATAAAATAATACCATATTCTGTTCTTGTTATCACTCATCATTTTACAAGCTTTTATTTATATTTCCTCACACTTCTCGTAACCTAATTAATAAAGAAAGACTGACCTAAAATACCAAACAGAAGAAAATGCTAAAGATAAAACCTTACCTGTGTAAGTAAATGGGAGCCATATTTAGAACAGTATAGTACTGTCTGACAAACTCACGACCAACACATTGAGGACTTGGAGTTTCCATGACCATGACTTATCTAATTTTACCAAGCTGCAGTAAAAAAAAGTGAAAAACATTAACAGTTGTTGAAACACTGATGAAATGTTACCACTCCAATCATACTTTACAACACTAACAAGCATATATTTATACAAAAAGTTTCTTCAAACTAAAATCAATATAAAAAGGAAAACAATGTCATATTGTTTAAATTCAGAACATTCAAAATGACACAATATCTCTTTGGTAATCCTGGTAAAGCAACAACAAAAAAAAAGATATCATCATACCAGGGTTGCAAAAAAGATGTCAGGTCAAGTTAATGTTTTTAATCTAAGCAGTATTACATTGTCTTCTTTTTATATTATCTTATCAGCATTTCCACGAACTGGGACATAACCATCAGTGACAGTTTCCAAAGCTAGTTGACTAGTATAGACTGAAAACAAAAGGTCTGAGATGGGCAGCTAGAAACACTAATTGTTACTAACAAGAATGAATGAATGTACCTCTAGTGCATCTATAGACTATGCCCTTAAAAGGTGCACAAAATCAAATGACTAATTGGGCATTATATTTCCCTTAGCACATGTGCCCTCTCCTTCTGTTCCAATAAAATTTTTCATCTTGCTGGCCAAAATTTCTTGCCAAACTTTGGGTTCTTTCTTTCAAAAATATTGAAACAATTAAAAATAAAAATGATTAAAAAGTAACATTATTATTGTTATTCTGTGTTGTCCAAACACATCATAATAAATTATCAGTCAATG